ACAAACTCTTTAATATAATTCGCTTCAAACATACAACAAAACAGCAGAATAAACGGCATATTACCTAAATGAATAAAATAATGTAAATATTTAATTTGATATTATGGGGCTGCAACATGAAATTGTAAAGCCCCTACAATATAACGGTACTCGTACTACTGCTGCTGCGATGGCTGCTGCTGCTGCTGCTGATTATTATTATTATTATTATTATTATTATTATTATTATTCAGCTTTTACGCATCGATCACAGTAGTAGTAAAACGCAATAATATAAAACTTCAGCATGTGGGAAGTGGAGTTCCGTCGCTTGCTGTCCAAGGTTCTGAAAAAAAAACCTGCATTTCCGCAAATACCGAAAAGCAAAGGGAAAAAAAATCATTCTAAATATAAATGGCGTCGCAATGATGACTTCCCCCATAACATCTCACTTTGAACAACGGGTGTTTCAGATCATTAAAACTGCCGGGACATATCTTGAAAACTGTAAGTACTAAACAGTAGGCCTATATAACAAAAACACTTTTTCAAGAGTGTGTGCAGTGGCCCACTATGCCACAGCTATAAAGTAACTAGAACATTACTTTTACGCAATGAACTACAGCCTAGCTTTTTACAAGAATGATGATGTCTCAGTGCTAGCTCACCGGAGCATCAACAAATAATAATCACAACAATTATAATAATAATAACGCTGTAAAGATAATTCTCCGATACCAAACCGTCTTGGTTAAACAGTAGATGTTAAAAATGATATTTGGTAACCCGATCCAATATCGCCTTTTTCATTTTAGGTTTTCCACTTGAATACAAGCTACCAGAGTCCAGATTAGCCAAAAGCACAAGAGCATAAATAGGCGATAAGAAATGGGAGGCGGTAACCGGGCCGGCTACTTCATAATTATAGCAGCATTATTTAGACAGATGTTCTGCGCGTCCGTGATTAACATTATAATTCAACGTCACCACTCTGGACTGAATATTAATTACCGCAAAAAGTATGTAAAGCCTTTTCGTGCGAAGGGGTCTTTTTCCAGTATAAAGTTTAAATAACTTCAGACGAGCCATTACACCTAGTGTAATTTGGACTAAGCAATATATTGCATAACCCACAATGTTCGTATGTGCACGGACAGCATATAAACTTCCAAGTTCAAATACATTTTAATGTAAATGTGAATTCCCTCTTTACAAGGCCTTCTAAAAAAATTAAATGATGCCTATTGCATATTAATATGTGAGTGCGCCAACAAAGAGGCAGTGCCTCTGGGACCTGGGTTCGAGTCTCCGTCATGTATGCGGAGTCTGCATATTCTCCACGGGTCGTCATCGGTTTCCTCTGGGTAATCCGATTTCTCCCCACAGTCCAAAAACATGCTGAGACTAATTGGAGTTACCAAATTGCATGTGTGTGTTAGTGACTGATGTGTGAGTGTGCCCTGCGATGGGTTGACACCCCATCCTGGGTTGTTCCCCGCCTTATGCCCAAAGGATCTGGACCCCTCGCGACCCTGAACAGGACAAGCGGTTTTAGAGAATGGATGATATGACAAAGAATTGTGGGTAAAGTCTGTGAACTTTTTTAATCACAACACAGGCATGTACTGTGTATTAGTTTTGTTTCCTCGTAGTCACGCACCGTGCACGGGCTCCTTCGCATTATAACTTAAACTACAAAGTCAAAGACCTGCAAAGAAAATGCCGGACAAAGTAGCGACTCAGCCAACGTCTCTATTGTCTTGAATTAACTTTCATCTTAAGCATCACCCCTTATTACAATAATTATAGACGTTTTCAAATCCACACGTGCTGTGCGTTATAGTATTCAGATAGATGCTTGTAATTCCAGGCGCTCAAATGTTTATTACGGATCTCTTTGCCAGTTAATAATTCATTTGGTCATTTGCCTCTTAAGTGGAAATGAATGGATTGTATGTGCCGCACGCACCTGCGCCAGTTTAATTAATCTACCAATGGCTACTTTGCTGCACGGATTCGGTTAGCAACAGGCTCTGCTAAAGTGCTGGGGCCTCAGTTTTTACTCTCCCCCCATTTCGGTTGGCTTGCGGGGCCTTGCCCCCTCTCTGTCCCCCGGTCCCTCTGCGCGTCACCCTGCGTGTCGCTTTGTCCTGGCAGCGGACCGATCCCTTCCTCGCGCGTGAGCCTCGCGCACTCTCCATGGCTTTGGATGAGAGATTTCCAGGTCGCCATGGAGATGGAGGCAGCTCTTATCCAGAGTAGAATAGGTATCACTTCATTAGCAGATAACTCACTGAGCCAGAGCCCGCACCGTTTGCTGTGCATGTTTAATATTACGCTGAAATAACCGTGCTTATCGTCCGTATGCTTCTAAGTAATAAAATGCATTTAGTAAACGTGGACTTTCCTCAAACGTCAATTATAGGTCACATATGGCGCTTCGTCCGATATTGGGTTTATTTAAAGGGGTTAATAGGCCTACATGAACATAAACCTAAAGTCGGTGTCATCAAACAGATGAGTGTAAAGTCACCGTAAGTATGAATTGGTCAACTTTTAGAAAAACGAATGGCGAGGTGTTATTGTTATAGGATTTTACTCGCCGGTACAATGAACCAGAACATCAAAAGCTCTTGACAATATTAAATTTATATTGAGCTGAGAAAAAATTCTGTGCTCGATGTATAATCAAATCCATTAATTTAAGTATCATGAGTCATATGTTATAATCATAATGACGACAGTTTTAGCAGTTAGCTGTTGCAAATATGTCTGCAGTGTACCATATGTATTTTTACGTATTTCCGTTACGGTTTTTAAATATAACTAATTTACTCTGTTTCTTCTCTGAGACAATATATTCGATTATCGTTTTGCAGAAACCAGTTTTACATCCCTCCGTTTCTACTACAAGAAACCCGATCCCAACAGTATAATCCGTACAATCCTAATAAAACTGTACACGCAACTATGTCGCTATTATGTAACTGAATCCACTCTTAATACACTTGCGCTCGATCATCCTCGGTATACCTCTGATCTGAAGTGAATAATTATGCTCAGAATACAGTACAATAAAGAAGAGGAGAACAGAACAAATAAACAGTTTTACCTACCAAGTTAATAAGCGCTGCTTTCATTCATTCATGATCTTCGCATTTACAAATTACGCTGGTTTCACGACGGCATACGATTCACACAGGGCAACCTAGGAGAGCTGCTGTTTATTTCTCATTTGTTCTCTACATCTCGTGGAAAAATCCATCTCCTGTCATTCTGTCATGTTCCCTTCTGCTCTGAGCTCGACCAGAGAGGGAAGGGGGAGAGAGAGAGAGAGAGAGAGATACTACGTGGAAAGAAAGAGCGAGTGATGGGAGAGAGAGAGGAGAGAGCTAGGCGTTTTAAGAGCGCTCCGATTCACATGGTTAAGGGCAGAATTGGTGATGTTCTCAGGTTGAAACACGTTACGGGGAGGTTAATGGAGAGATGTAACCTATACCCGGTGGAGGAAAGCAGAAAGCAAGGCAAGCAGCGAGCAATAAACGCCATCACGTCCACAGCCCGTCATCTCCAAGACAGTTACAGTACGGTCATTTCCGCTCAAAAATCCTCGAGTCGAGGCTGTAAAGAGACATGAAAACACTGCCACATGCTGGAAAAGAAAAAACGATCCTGCTAGTTGTTAAATATTTGCTAAATTCATTATCCCCTTCTAACCTACAGAAGGTATGTGCGCCTCTGTTTTATATCCTGTCTTGCAAAGGACTGTGCTCTTAAAATCAGCTTTAAAAGCCAGCGACCTGTATGAAGTGCGGTGTAAAAGTATATATATACATATATATATATATATATATATATATATATGCAAAACATGCAAGCCACATAAAATCAAAATACGACAATCGCCATAAATAGTCACATTTCAGTTTCGTGACGAGGAGATGTTTTGTTCGGAATACCCCCTGAACAGCCAGACCGAGAAAGATGAAGATGGTTTTACAGTAAGGTCTGAAACATTAACATTTAAAGTAAAGGGTAAGTATAATTCAGCGAAACAGATATAGGACTATGCTGAGTACACTACCATTGCACTAACCCTGGGCTGGGGGCTGTTTCACCGCCGCTCCGTTTTACATCGACATATAAATCAAACACGACTTCCCTTCGGTACTGGCAAGTTTCATAAAAAACATTTTTTCACTGTTCTTTTAAAGCCCCTCAGGGCAGAACCAGACAGACTTGCATCTACGATTGAATCTTTTAATTCAAGATCAATTGCAACATATTAGCAATCTTAACTATGTGTTTTTACTTCCACATAAACAAAGTTCTCAGACATCCTGTAAAAATATTTTTCTAACGTTGACCGTGAGATTGATTATTGACGTGCGCATCAAAACTAGATACCAGATGTCATATAAGCACAGCGGTCATTTACGATACTTAATCAATACATTATCAATATAATGTTCTTTGTAAGATGAAAATGAAATTTCAGTTCCCATGTTTGCGTTTGACTGTTAAACGAAAATTACCGTTAATCCTGGTTTATTATGATCATTATTCCTTTTCAACTAGGTAGGCCTATCGATGTAAAGTTGCCTTCAGTCTCACTATAAATAATTGTTTATGAGAGGGTCATCAGGGAATTCTAAACATCTGAGATTATTGTTTTTCTCGCCCCATGATTAAATTTCAACAAATCAGCTTGCTGCAGCCAAGACTGATCTGACTAGGGTATTAATTGCGGATATGACTTTGATTCCTATATTAAGTTTCTTTCCAGATTTGCTTGTAGGAGTGGCTGTGCTTTTTATTGAGGGGAATTATCCATTAATCTCGTCTTAAACAAAGAAAAGCCCATATGGTCTTCCACTTGGATAATATGGTGTTCGGTAAAAACTTATTTATAAATTTTAGCTCTTTATTCACGCTCTTAAGACCATTCAAATACAATACACCGTGCACGTGCATACTCCTGTAATGATAGACAACACAGCGCCCAAAAACAAGCCACTCACATTAGTGTATCCAATGCTTCTTTATGGCTGGACGTGGGTTTAAAATGGCATGTCTAACCTCTTACATCTGGCTGGAAATTGCTCCTCTGTCACAGGACTTTCCCTCAGCCGGAATGGTTCATTAGTCACGCCTCATCCGAGCTAGGTCACGAGGCGTGTGTTAGCAGTTAGCGCTTAGGCTGCCGTGCAATCGATACCGCGATTTGGGAGCTGCCGTATGGCCTCCGGTTTGTGCTGGCTGTCGATCGCTGATCTCCCGGGTGATTAATGCGGTATCGGAAAGGGCATCCCCGTGGTTTGAGAGTGTCCTCTCATGTGAAAGAAGAGCGTCCCAAACCGCTATAAGCCACCATGAAATGTATGGCGCAGTGAATTGTCTAAACTTGAAAAAATAAGTAAAGAGATGTATGCACAGTGATTTAAAGTGAAAATCTCAAGCGTTAAAAACGTTTGCCGCCTATTACTGTTTTGGATGTATGACACACTGATATGCATAACCATTGATAGACGTTATTCATATATATATATATATCCTTCCTCTATTCCGAATATGATTTCCAGTCACTTTGCAGTAAAGGTAATAATGCAGTGAAATTAATTATCCATCTGTGTGTGGGGGAAATTGGCATTCTTCTACTTTTGCAGGGAGGAGTCCAGTCAACACTGTTTCTTGCCTCCTTTAGGGATCCGTAAGATAGCTGTTAGTGGTGCAAGACCTGCCTCCCTTCTGATTCGTGACGGCGCTGCATAACATGCATAGTGTAAAGAGCGGTAACTTTAGCACAGGAGTTAATTGGCCACGCCCATTAATTCTCTTAAGGGGGGGGGGTATTCCCGGAACACGATGAAAAGCACAAGGAAAGTATGACTACCTGCCCCTAGTGGCCAAAATCAAAATAAGAACTTCTATATCGAGTGTATTAAAAGGCCATTAAGACTGGCAGAGGTAACGTAAAGCACATTTAAGGTTGGTCAATATGCAATGTGCTGTCGACAAGGCAGTTAAACAGTACTGTGTCAGACAGCTCAGAAATGCAAACCAATAAACAAATCCTGAATAAGATGTACACATAAATTGCCTATAAAGATATTCCTGTGATCATGATGTAATAAAAATCATCCCTTGTGACTTTTTCCCCTTCAGTGATTACTCAGTCATTCCCTGATAAGTCATTAAAGACTGTGCTGCTTTTCTGCTCAGAGTAACCCTCTGGTGCACTGAATCCTATTGCTAACAACACAAATCCTTCCCCATCTTTTGTTGGGCGTTTTAGGAGGAGTTCCTGTTTTCTACAAGCGACTCTCAAAGCTCCCTTATGTACATTTGTATCTGTCATGGCTCTTCTGTATGCTTATTCAGTCTCTATCAGTGTCTATTCTCAGCCCCCTTGGGGAATGGATCGCCGTCACTTTAAATAGAGCCCTAATTTCAAATGACAGTCGACATTATGTGTTTTTCACTGCCTATGGGGACTCAGCCCATCCGCAGCCCTGTTTGACAGCAATATCAGAGGAGAGCAGCGCTGGGGGCCAACAGGGAGTTTATTAGGCGAGAGGTGTGCTCTGGGGTCTTCCTTGGCCTGCTGCTGGAAAAGATCAACATCTGTCTCTGAGGAGCAAGAGCCCGACCAATCAGATTACAGTCTGCTGGTCAGGTGACATCCAGGCTGGAGGGCACAGCGAATGCAGCAGATCCCACTGTAAGTTGAACATTTTTCGATGTGGAAGCAAGAAATGAATGATCGTTTCCAGGGCCAGTGAATGTTGGAAGCATTTCCAGTATTTTTTGAGCTGTACGGTTTCTTTGTCCCTCCCTCATAATGATGAAAATTTCTTTTGCCATTTGCACAACTGCATAGCATATCTTTTATTAATCTCCTGCGAGACACTCATATGGAGCAGAGAGGGAGGCCTGGGGTCAGACATTCATCCACCACCCTGGGACAGTTTTCACAGTCAAAGGCTTCGCTCAAGGGCCCAACAGTGATACGATCACTTAGCTCAAGAGCTGAAGTTTGTTCGGCTTCACTGGTGTGTCTGAAGATACATAAACAATAAGAAAGGCACTCATTCTCTCTGCAGTCATCCTTTAATTGCGCTTTAAATTGCTGAAGATCCTGTCCGTGGCCTGTTTCTTTCAATTAGACAAACATTTTAAGGGCCTGCACAGCTCCATTATGGTTATTGATTGCGGCAGAGGCAAACCATTGACTCGGTGCTCACAGGAAGCAATCCATTTTGCTGGAATAATGTGTTTTGTCATTGCTGTATGTTTACAGTAAACTAAGCAGATAATCCCCTCAAAGACAGTGTGAGACTCTGCAGTTACGTTTTAACCAGTTCATTACAAGTTGATTGTCGTAACCAGATTGAAGGACTGAATGACCTCATAATTCATCTTGTTCTTCTTAATCAAACTACAAAACAAGCCTAAAAAAAAAAGAAAAAGAGCATCATGAGTCGTCAGACCACTGTGCCGTGTCAGTCCATGAATGCGACGTAAAAAAAAGTAATCAGAAAAATCCAAAGTTGTTAGTATAATAGATATGAACATCTGGTTGTAATGGCAGCTCCTTGTAAGAAAGAGCCTTTTTTCAAAGGTCATAATTAATAACAATAATGCACACTTGTGGGAATGAGTGCTTGGGAAAATGTCGTTCCTTAGTAAAAGTTTCCCTCTCATACCCGCACCGACCTTCACTGGGTTTGTTTTGCATTTGTGAATGGGCATGTATCTCTGCTGTTTCTGAAATCCACTGTATGCATGCTTCCCCACATGCACACCCATACATGCAGGCCTGCCAGAGCTCCTTGAATTGAAGGAGGGAAGGCAGGACAAAGGAGTCCTTGTCAGTTCTGGGCAGAGTCACCGTGCCTGGACGCGGGGCTGGGTGCATACAGCCGCAGAGGCTTCATAGCCAGAATAAAGCTTCCGCTATCTATGTATGCCAGTAAGGGAGGGGGTTGTCTTAGCAGGGGTTGAGGTCAAAGTGTGTGATCAGTGGCGTGCGCACATCAGAGGCAACCCAGCTTTTACAGGCTTCTGAGGAGACACCTGCAGAGGGGACCTCTCAGCTGGGCCAAACCACACAGGGGGGGGAGGAGGGGCTTGTGTGGGAAGTAGCAAGGACACAGTCCAAGCTGCTGTGTGGAGAGAGAACCAGTCAGCCAACGCGTGTCTCCCTTTAAGGTCCACTCACAGGGTGAGGTGCCTGAAGGCCAATCTGAGTGGAAGATTTTCAGATACTGCTGAAGAGGCAAAAATTGCCTTAATTTTTTTGTCAGGCATTACTTTCCATGTTAACATGAAAACAGCTGATGACATGGTTATGCAAATGCTTTTGCACCTCTGGCTTTTTAAAAAAATCTTTCATCAAATTCCCAGGCGGCTGTTATTGAAATATTTCTAGTAAAACCTGGCATATTTCATTTAAAATTAAGAAAAGTGCACAACAAAAGTGCACGACGATTGAAACTTTACAAGAAAATATTTGGCGTACGAGATAAACGTTCCTGATCATTTCCCCCGTTGCGTGCCTGTTGTCACAGCGTAATCTGATTGGCTGGATGCATTATGCGCCGCGATCTGAATGCCAGATTTGACGAATTAAAATGCTGCGAGGGTAATACGGCGTGTCATTCTGAGTTCAGCGGCGGCGTTAACACGAATGATCGCGGTTTATTCCGGGTGAGCGCACGCGACCCCCAGCCCTTGAAACGAGAACCCTCAATTTAAACGCCGCGTCACGTGACACTCCTTTCGTTCGTCTTTTTACCCTGTATCTTGCGCTCCCCCATGCCGCGGAAACAGGTATCTCCTAGACGCGGCTGCCGTTCGACGCGACTCCCGGCAGACCGTGCCTTGTTCCCGCCGCGCAGTGCTCACCAGTGTATGATGGGATGCTCTTCGGCCGCCAAGACGGGGAGGCCGCTGTTCGTGTGAAGACAAAACACGAGGTAAATTCGATTCTCTCCCCTCGCTGCATGGCAGACCGCAGTCCTATTTATAATTACACTGTCCTCTGTGGCATCGTATATATTATTTTGCTTCATTATGCTACAGACATAACAATGATTTATTTACTTTTCTCACACTCCAAATCACTCTGACATGTTTTCCCTGTTAATATCTGTCCTTAGGTCAATCTCTGTATTACTAAGTTTACTTTTCTTACACTTGACGTCACTTTCGCACGTTTTCCATCTTTATGTCTGTCCTTAGGTCACTCTGTATTATTAAGAATATCTGTGATTACGTATCACGTTACAGTCACAATACGTAATCTCAAACGAAAACCTGTATACCTGTGTCTAAATGTGAGAACTGAGTTGTTTTTTCTATATTCAGTTACTCTCTTTTCTTATCTATATAAAAAACCTTTTTAGTGTCGTGATCAGTTAAATGTGATGGTTTGGGGCAGGTTTCTCAGTTTGCTGTTAATAAGTGTTCATGGGTGGGATAAGTGTTGCTTATAATTCATTAATTACAATAAAGATGTCTTCTTAGTGTTACCCACCTGGGGGAAAGACACTCTCTCGATTTCCAGAGCCTGGCAGGTGCCCGTCCTGGACTTTTTTTGGAAACATCCTAGGACTCATCTGACAGATTGGAGACACATCACAGGCTTTGTACATACATCTGGCCTTCAAACAAAAGTGTCTACAAACAGAGACGGAGTAAGTGTGAGAGAGAGGGAATCTGCCATCCCATGCCAACATGTAAAGCAGGAGCTGGAGGCCAGTTTGCAGAGTGCATTATTCGCCACACGCTGAGCTCACAAGCATGAAGACTGACTGCTGAAAATAAGTCAAAGGATAGTAAATGGCCTGCTTATCAGGACGCTGTCGTTTCCTTGGGCCGTCTGGGCATTATTGACTTTGGGGCTGACAGAAAGCTTGGGCATGGGCATGAATTTATAAATGTGTGCATTTATGAAGGATACACTGGTTGTTCCAGGAAATATAAAGGTAAATGGATGGCTGGAGAGAAGTTCCAGAAGAGTCATGCAGCAGCAGCCAGGGGAGACTCAAAGAAAGGCTTTTGATCAAAATCACATCTCTGTTAAGATTTTTTTTGTTTGTTTCCTGGTTTTCACTCAATCAGTTGTTTTTAATTAGACTTGGCTCAACCATGCCCTCCCGGCTCCAAACATCCAGCCAGATGTGTTGTGCAGGGTGTCCACTTCACCCACAACATCCCTGCCAAGACCATTTCTTTCTTTACGCATTGCAAGTCACATGATATGGAGGATCCAGATCTGATTGGATGAGCTGAACAACTGGCAAGTTGGAAGTGCCCCACCGCTCTGTAACAGCCAATTAAGCAGCAGTCAGCTGAGACCCTCTGGCTGACATTAACGGCTGGGTAGCTCCAATTACACATCCCCTGCTGTGGTACCTCCGGTCATGCTCACCGCGATGACTTTAGAGAAAGAGAAGTGAGTCGGCGTGATGCAGCATGCAGGATGAGCAGAAGAGTGGGTATGGAATGCCGTGCTGTACCACTGCTCCCATTATCCCAGTCCCACTCCAATGACAAGGACTGTGCTACATTGCTAAACAGGAATCTGGGAAGGATTGGGGAGATGCTCTGGCCAGAGGCAGGAACCGGAAAGCCAGCCAGTTTAATGCACTGAAGGTTCTGCAGAGAGGACTGTCAGATCTCGAGCACTGACTGTACTGTACTAAGAACTCCGTAGTTCATCGATGCTCTCAGATGGGTTTACGATAGCGATGGCCGCTCTAAAAAAGGCGGTCGGCAGCCTCAGCTCCTGGCGCCTCTCCTCCCTGCATCTGGCCTCTCACTGTCGCCATCTGCTTTACGCCAGGACAGTAGGGGGTGGCGGTATATGAGGCCTGGCCTGGGGGCCGTGTGGGTGGCCCCATGCCCAGACTACCACAAGGGGAGCGACTGCCGGGGGGGGGGGGGGCGAATCCAACACCATCCCAAGTTCTGTGCCGCCTGGCAGTCAAGGCCGTCCGGGTGCTCTGGTGAATTCGTCTTCCGCAACCATCATGGTGCAAAAGAGAATGTTGAGCAGACCCAAATTCTGAATGGGGGGGGGGGGGCAGGTCTGGTGGTGGTATTTTGCTGGTACAATAACATAGATTTTCTGTCTGACTGGTAATGGCAATCTCATTAGAGCGTATTACTTCCAAATCAAATGTAATCTCCCTCTCACTTGAAGTGGATGGATTCTCCTGAAGTGCCGTTAATGTGCGACGCTATGAGACCCAATCCCTTTATTTGAAAAATTAAAAAATGGGAAAATGCAGAGTCACCTACATTCTACATGATCAAATGAACACGCAAGCGACATTTTTTAACATGGTGCCCATCGCATAATTTTTATGCTGCCAGTACTAATGTGATGTTTAGTTTTTATGTGTATAGAGGGTTATGGGTAATATGATCAGTAGAGAAACTGATCATATTACCCATATGGTGTAATAGGTGTAATGATGGATGAGCATTTTTAAATGTTTTTTCGCTGCCTTTTTCTGACAATGGTCATCATGCTTGTACTATTCCATCTTTAACGTAACCAAGACCAACAGAAGGAATTGGATAAAGACCGTGTGACAGTTGCTGGAAAAACTCCACGCAGTGCTTAATTAAAATTGGATTGGAGTTGAACAAAATAAAACCAGCATGATGATGCAGTGCTATAGATTCATGCAGTTCTGCTGCAGTGTGGCAGCCTTTTAATTTCTTCCGCCAGTAATCTTCTCGTCTCTGCTATTATAGATTGAAGATCATGAAAATAATCTTGTCGTTTACGTGGATGTCACGTTTATCCCCAGTCACATGACTGGCCATGCAAGGATTTCTTTTCTTATTTGATCTTGTAGTGTTTGCTTATGGAGATGTTTTGTGAATTGTTTCCTTTTACAGACGGTTATGTTTAGAAGCTTAGCTGCGTGAAATGATTGCACTGTGCTTGCTGATAAAGCTGCTCATTGCTTAACTTTTTATGTGTTTCTGTCTCCTCTTGATTGGAGGATACCTTGGGGAGACAGAGCTTGAAGCATCAAAATAAAGGTCATATCACTGGATACCAACAGAATTTATTTAACGGTGCCTTCCTTCGATTTGATTAACCAATAAAACACCGTTTTATGTAACGTGATGGCTGTTCCCCATCGCTAATCTGTTTGATGAATGGCTGAGATGCGTGTCATTGGTTCCATGTGATTGTTATGTTGAAAATTATGTTAAATTATGGTATAAATATTAATGATCCCAGTATTATGGATGTATCAGGCTACATCTGAGGTTGTCAAGCTGCTCAGTGCTAATTTTGGCTTTAAAAGGAACTTGTTGCACTAGATAGTAATTTCTATACCAATCCATTGGGAGAGGGGAGATTTTAACAGATGCCTGACTGAGGCATTGAAAAGTGAAAGCAGGGACGGCCGGTGAGAGAGAATCCATTTGCACTTAATTTGGGGATCTGAACAGAATAAATGAAAGGAAAACAATCAAATTGTTTGATGCTTGCTATTGGGTACGGACCATTCTAATGGGTATCAAATCATAAATCTTCCCTCCAAGAGGGAATACTTTTGCCCCTGAATCATGACAATCTTAAGTGTTATTAAAAATGGTGGTGCACTGTTTCTAAGAAGGAGCATAACTCAGAGGGGAGCTTTAGTCTGAAATCCTTAGCAATTATAAATAACCGACACAGACTACATCTCTGTTTGTTGTGCACCGGAGTCCAGTGTCCTCTTTGACGGGCCATTCTAAACAAAGCATGTCCTTGTCTATTTCGGTGACTGCCGTAATCTGTCCCGAGCTTACCATAAAGTACCCTGCCTCCCCGGGGCTGCAAATCACCGGTGTCCCTCAGCAGATAGTTGGCGTTCCTACATAATGTGATGTGCGACGCATAACGTCAGTGGCAAGCTTGCAGTCTTATGTCTTTTTGCATGTATACAGTTAGCTGTGCTTTGAGGTCTTGAATGTACTGCATATATACGGAGTTCCCACAAGGTTTTTATAAAAAACAAAAAAAAAAACACATTTTGGTATTTTTCTGCACATCCACTTAACACCATGAGTTAGGTGTTCAAACCCTTTGCTGACTAGACATTATGAAGTCATAGAAATGTTTGACCTTTGTTGAAGCCTCTGGACCTTGTTTTCTTGAGAAAACATTCATAGGACCGCAACACTGTATGATTTCAAAGGAAGGCGGGCTGTCTTATGCCAGGGAAAGAGGATAATTATGGCTCTTTGGGCTCCCCTCTGGCCCTTCTCATGCCTCCTCAGGTTTAGGGGAGAGTTGAGTCAGCCTTGGTGTTGTTTACATCACTGGCTACCTTTCTCCCTTCTGTGCGATGACACGGAAAGGTCGCATCACGGACTTTTGATATGACTGTCACAGAGGGACATTTTTCCGGCCAGCCGGTCATGCAAACAATGGTCTACTCAACTACGTCACTCAGTGAAATCTGTCAGCAAGGTTGCTGTCAGATTGATAGGGTCTCTTGTAAGAGGTTATCAGAGAAATTTTTATAGTAAATGAGAAAAATTTACAGGAAGCTGTCAGGATTTGTAAACTGTGTTCCTATACTCACAGTTGCGTATCAAGTTTAATTTTTTTTAAACGATTTTAAAAGTGTGAAAAGAATTGTGAAGAACTGCAAAATTCATGCTTAGATCTTTTATGAGAGGTGATGGGTTTTGCTGAGTTCAAAGTCATTTTTGCAGAGAAATTGCCTGATTAGTTGCTAACGAGGTCATAATGAGGCCTGTTACAGCAAACGAATACATGCACAGGAATGAATATGAACATCACTGGCATATATGGCAATAATTACAAAATATGTAGCTTCTGTATATCAAAACCGAGAGATTCCAGGGAGGATGATTCACTGCATTCATTCAAGGCAAAAGCCCCAGACATTATGATCGCAGGACCAAATCATCAGCGCTCCACATATGAATATTCTTCACACTGATTGGCCCTTTGAAGACCCCATAAATCTATACAGAACAACCAAGGAGGCTCACAGTGCATGTGATGTCTCATGCAAAGCTTAGGAAAAAGTGTGAATGCATTCTCTGGTGGTTTGGGCTTGACATGTAGTCCAGTTGACCTTGTGCAGTTAGCGTACCCAGAGTGGGTGGGTAGCCAGTTGGCCTGGGACCCCAAGAGGTCCCTCCCCTGCCCCCAAACAGCCTTTTTTGCACCATGTGCTGTATGTCTTTGTGTGTTTATAGTCAGAATATATATACATCTGCTCGTCAACGCAACAGCCTGGTCCTCCAACTGGCCAATCATGCGTCTGCAACTGAATACATATGGCACACAGATGGGGTCAAGAGGTATAGTTACCATTTGGCTAAGCATTAGAGCGGCTAAGACATCTGATCTAAGTGACTGAATGTGATGTGATTGTTCCTGCCAGACGTGGTGGTTCCAGCATTTCAGGAACACTCGTCCTTCTGGGATTTACACGCACTACAGTGTCTGGAGCTTACATAGAACATGAAAACACCCAGTCAGCAGTAGTTCTGTTGCTGAAAATGCCTTGTTAATGAAAGCACTCAGATGAGGGTGCCCAGACTCGTTAAAGATAGCAGGAAGTCAACAAGTACAACAGATGAGGACAACAGCGGTGTGGAGAAAGGCTAAGCATTAGGGCGGCTAAGACACCTGATCCAACACTGATCAAAAGACACAGCTTTTCTACCTTTGAAGTGATTCTGGAGGCAAACATGGGTACTATCCTGTATTAGCTAGGTATACATAACAATGTGACCCCTGAGTGTATATGTAAAGTGCAGTGGGGTCATGGGGTCAGGTCATTTATAAAAAAAATACATTTAATCCAATATTAGGTGGCGCTGTTGTCTGAGTGTCATCCATTCCTTCCTGATTTCCAGTCGTATTTGACGTGCAGTTATGCGTATCTGCATCTCTAACTTGCTCACAGTGAATCGGCATTTCCTTACATTACTGCGATGGACTGGCTTCCTATTCAAACTGCACCTCTGCCGTTCCCTGTGCTCTGGGACAAGGTCTAGGGTCTCCACGAACGTATTCAGGGTAAATAGTTGGAAGATGAATAAATACATAGTCGAAGATTAACACTATGACCTTCATTGCTTGTATTGGGTTAGTAACTGCATTTAAAAACATGAAAATCTAAGGAACTTTTAAATGCGTAATGGAAACACCAACTGCCTTTCACTGGCAGCCGTGGGAAAACAATTGCCCATCAAACACATCGCAGACTCTCGCATTCTCTGCTCAAGGACTCCATCAAGTTAATGAGTCTGTCTTAAACACCAAAAACAAAAAAATAATCCTTTTGTGGCCCCTTAGAAGACTATTTGTGAGGTGGGACCCACCGCTGTCATCAAACTTGGCAAATCCTACATCATGGCTGTGCTTGGAAAGTCGAACCCCTACTACAGTGATTATTAAAGAGCTCAGGGGGTGGGGAGGGAGCTGAGGGAGGGGGAGGCTGGGGTTAGGGCGTACTGTCGGCACACCCCTCCTTACAGACGCAATACAGAACCTGGACCCGGAGCAGCCAGTCGAAAGGAGAAGCGAAGAAGCAATTATTTATCGTGGAAAGTGGCCACGCACACGTTCACACCCAGAGGAGTAGGACTCGTATCAAAGCAGCTGATTGCAGTAATACAAAGGAAAATCTGCCATTGTCCCTGAAACAAAAAATATCCCCCAGCTGCTGTTTGAAGTGGGGACTGAGGAGAGAAATATTCAATGAACCATGACCCCGTGCTGTGAGCTGGCAGCCCAGGCAGCTGCCTTGCTTTTCATCTACGGGGCCAACAAACAGGACGCATCCTAAAGGCTGGTGCACCTCTGAAGATGACATGCTGCAGCTGGTGCAGAGCCTCTTGGATGGATGGGTGGATGGATGGATGGATGAAAATATTATGATCAATTAGAAAAGGATGAGTACCTCAATTAGAAATGTTAATGATGGAAATCAGTGACTCACCAGACGACTGACAGTCATACTGCTAACATTCTAGCTATAACTTTCAGCCTCTCAGCCTTTTAGTGATACAGTTAATTAGTGGAAGTTTTTATCCGGCATCCAAATGACAATGGGGGGGTCAACTGGAGCAATAAGGGTTAAGGGTCTTGCTCAAGGGCACAAACCATACTGCCCACTATCCTGAACCAGCAACCTTCGAAATATTAACCCAGTGAGCCATTATATGGGAGGGGGGGGGGGGTGTTGGTTAAAAGGGAACTAGAAAGAGCCAGAAAAATCACAAGCATTAAAGTGGCAGAGAGGGTTGTGTTTGCTGTGACTGTGGCTCTGTTAAGGAGGACGCCCCCCCCCCATGGTCTCTGAAATGGTTCCCCGGGGCAGTGCTCCTTCCACCCCTATCGCCCCCATCCCCCCCCCCCTCCTCTGTCACTACTCTCCCATCAGCCTCTGGGCATATGGAACCTGACTTCTGTTGTTCAAAGACCCCCAGATAATGTCGTCTACAACCCCCCCTCCCCCCCGTACACAGAGTCAGAAGTATAGATGAGTCTATATTTTAGAATTGAAGCACCATGCTATCAGCATATACCAGGTAGATGGGCTCGGGTCTCCTTGGATATGGACTGGGGGGTGTGTAAAGTGGTTCAGGGAGGGGGTTAAGACTGTCAGGAGGAACCATCCATCTTATCAGGAAGAAGTCAGTAATGTCACCACCTGGAAAAGAAAATAGGTGAGCGGAATTATAGGGCCATTACGGTGTTACAGCCTGGGGCAATCACTGCAAGGCTGTAATCACACAGGTGCTCAAAGATGGAGCTGCCAAAAGGCCTGAAATACAACTGGGCTGGTCGTACTTCTGCTCCCTGCAGAAAAAAACAGGCTGATTCGTACTTTTAAACTCTGCTCCTTTGGGTTCCGGCAAGGTCAGTGATGTCACCCAGGAAGCTGGTTACCGCGGCAACTTGGCAGAATTGCCCTTTCATCAAGTTCCGGGTTTTTTGTAATATACAGGCTGCCTGAGGGTATGTACTATGCCGTGTGAGGCGTTACATATATGAGCCCGCCCTGATATTAGGGTTGAGAGTGTGTGGCCCCCACCGCTGCCTTGCGTCCTCATGGGAAAGGAGAGGGAGCAGATGGCGCTCGT